TGTTGAATTTTAGAGTTCTATGTATATTTTGGAAAACAGTTCTTTATCAGATATGTCTTTTGCAACCATTTTCTTCTGTCTGTGGCTTGTCTCCTAATTTTCTTGACATTGTCTTTCTCAGAGCAGTTTTTAATTTTAATGAAGTCCAGTTTATCAATTATTTCTTCCATGGATCATGCCTTTGGTGTTATATCTAAAAAGTCATCACTATACCTAAGGTCATCGAGGTTTTCTCCAATGTTTTCTAGTAGTTTTATAGTTTTGCATTTTACACTTAGTTTTATAATCCATTTTGAGTTAAATTTTGTGAAAAGTGTAAGGTCTGTGTCCAGATTCAATTTTTTGCATGTAGCTGTCCATTTGTTCCAGCACCATTTGTTGAAGAGACTGTCTTTGCTCTATTGTATTATCTTTGTTCTTTTGTCAAAGATCAGTTGACTACATTTAAGTCGGTCTGTTTCTGGGCTCTCTATTCCATTTCATTGATCTATTTGCCTATTTTTCACCGATACCACACTGTAGCTTTATAGTAAGTTTGAAGTCAGGTAGTGTCAGTCCTTCAATCTTGTTCTTCTCTTGCAATATTGTGTTTGCTATAAAATAACTTTCTGGGAGTTTTATTAGGATCACATTGAATCTATAGATCAAGTTAGAAAGAACTAACATCTTGACAATACTGAGTCTTCCTATCTATGAACTTAGAGTATTTCTCCAATTATTTAGTTCTTTGGTTTCATTCAAAAAACTAAATAAATGAAGTTTTGTAGTTTTCTTCATATAGATCTTGTATTTTGTTAGATTTAGAGCTAACAAAATATTTAATTTTGAGGGTTCTAATGTAAATGGCATTGTGTTTCTAATTTTAAATTCCATTTGTTTATTGTTGGTACACAGGAAAGCAATTACTTTTTTGTATATTAACTTGTATCCTGCAACCTTGCTATCATCACGTATTAGTTCCAGGAGTTCTGTTGTTTATTCTTTTGGGTATTCTTTATAGGCAATTATGTCATCTGTGAACAAAAACAGTTTTCTATCTTCCTTCCTAGTCTGTATATCATCCTTTTTCCATTTTGCATTAGTAAAGACTTCCAGTACAATGTTAAAAATAAGTGGTAAGAGGGGATTTTTTAAAAAAAATTTACAGTATCACAACATTTTATACAATTATGGCACTATTCTGATTTAACTATTCTGACTTTAATAGTATTATTGGTCTCGTAGATTTAAAAATGCTCAGGGGAGCCAACATCAGCATGCAACAGGGCACTGTCCTACACTTTGCCCTCATCAAAATTCTTACAAATAGCTGAGATGAATGCCTAAAATGCAATAATATATATACATCTCAAAAAAACTGGCAGTGATAGTTAATATATAGGATCCTAAAATCAAGATTCAAAAAGCCTTGATAAAATATTAAATTATGTACTTTGATTCAGAAAATGAATTATATAATATAGTATAAAGGACAGAGCTGATCTAATACTGGTTTTTATGGAGCAAACAACAAGGAAACAAAAACAAGAAGGATTGTAGTACTTATATAATTAGAAGTTAAATGAGAAACAAAGGGAATCGATATTAATTCAGCCAGTATTTTGGGTCAAGCACTGGCGCAGGTATTTTGTAGGTGCTAAGGAATATAACACAATCATAGACTATATTTACTGGAGCGAGTGGCCAGAATAAGGGGAGTGACAGTCACACTGTGCTGAGATGTGTGGACAATATGTGGACAATAATTTGGAGGTAATAAGTATAGCAGCAGGTCACATGAAAGGTCATTGAAAAAATTTTAATTTAATGAATAGAAGGGTAGAGAGCATAAAAGATGTCATGTGGGAAAAGAATAAATTATTCTGCTTAGAAATAGAAGTGCAAGGTAGTGAGTTCCCTATTAGTGTAAGTAAGCAGTACAAAATGACCAGCAAGTAAGGATAAAAGAAAGTGATCCTGCTTTAAGGTGCACTGGACTAGATGACCTCTAAGATTCCTTCCAAAAATCTATGCACTTCTATAGGCAGAGTTAGAAAAAAAAAAAATGGCAGCATTAATGTCAGGGGGTTTAGCCTCACAAAATGGAACACAGCTTATCTTTGGCGTTAATGAGATCCAGAGAGTAAGAAAGAAAAGAGGTATTTTTAGTTAAGATAAATATTAGCTATTATCTTAGAAAACAGGAAATTTAGGATTTTATAGGAGAGATGTGTGCAAACAAAAGCTAGATTAAAAATTTTCAGGGGGGTTATTATTCAAACAAAAGAGATCTTGTTTTTGATTATGGAGTTCAAAAGTAAGGAAGGGGCTATGGGCACTATAAAAGAAAGGCATTTGTTTGTGTATTAAAAAAATAACTTCCTTTAGGGAGATATCATCTCTAAATATAATTATGAATGAGAAGAAAGACTAACACTCTCTCAGATCTCAAGTGCTCCACTTAATTTTATTTCAATGCTTAAAAACAAAAAAAAGTGAGCAAGGTTGCCATCTAGTGACTATTTGGTTTCTAACTTTAGAGGCTCTTAAATATGGGTCCCCATGACAGTGATTCTCAAATCTGGCTGTGCATTCATATCATCTGGAAGTTTCCTAAACTATAAATTCCTGAGACCCACCTGAGGCTGGAATCAGAATCTTTGGGGATGGGGCTCTAGGGATTCTGCCTTATTTTAAAGATCTTCGGATGACTGTACTGGACCTAGTCTACCACCTGTGCTTGGAATTAACTGCCCTGGAGGCATATTGAGTGTGGGATGAAGTGTCATAGAGACAAAATTTTGTGAAGCGCATTAGTTATCTACTTGCTCTAAGAATCTGGTTTCAGACATATGCAACTTGGTATTGCATCTTTGTATGTCTGATACTTATAATAGGCTTATCACTGCTAGAAGTTATCCTACTGCTATGATCAAAGGCACATAGTTGAAGATATTTATTGTAATACTGGTTTCAATAATATCTACCAAAAACCACTTAAATGTTCATCAATAGGGTTTGGCTAAAAAAGACAGTAAATCAAAGCAGTGAAATTTGGTGAAAGAATTTAAGAAGAATGAGTAGTTCTATAGATGCTGATACCCTAGAGGAATTGATTATGTGAAGAAAGCAAGCTGTATTTTGAGCAAAGAGGTGATTCTGATGCAGGTGGTTTGGAGTCAATCTCGGAAACACTGTCTTAATGAGTAGATAGATTAAGTAATATGTGTGATATAAGGCCATAAATGGGGCCCAGAGATCTTCATTTTTAACAGGTTCCTCAAATGATTTTAATACAAACCACAGTATTTGAAATCACTAGCACGGACATCTTCCCATTAATTCTCACATCAGTCTACTGGGTGTCCTCTAGATCTATGGCCAGATCTGCCCGTGTTAACCTGGCATGTTGACACGCTTTCAGTCTGTGATAAAGAGATAGCATGTCCTCGTGGATTATCTCTATCAACAAGTAATGAAAATAACTATTTAAAGTGAACGTACAAAACACTCTTCAAACATGGACCTTTAGACGAGATCTTGTGAAACAGTACTTGTCATCAGTGTGCAAGTGTGGCTTCCCCAGTTGGCCACTACATGGAAATGATGTGGTGGCTGTAGAGCTGTGGTAAGCCATCAGGTCACCTACAAATCAGTCATTCTAACAGGATATGGCTGCAATGTCTGTCTCTGTGAAAAAGAGAACAGAAAGTGCGACAAGGAAACAAAGAAGGAACCAAAGGAGCAAGAGTTGAAAGTGCAAAAGGAGCAAAGGTCACAATGGGCTGATCTGAGATGTGTTTGCTGCCTTATGTTTCCCAAAGGTTTATGTTCTGGAAGAGTGTGCCCTGTTAGTAGAATTCTCAGTTAGTAGAATTTGTAAGCAATAATCCATAAATCTGTGACGTTCTCTCCTGAAGTCGGCCTTTGCCACCTGTTTGGTGTTGGAACTCTGTCTTCACAGAGACCTGACATATTGAAAGGGATGCACCTTTTCCCTGGAAGGGCCATTAGTTGAACCAGCATGTTTTATGACAAGGAGCAAGAGACTGGAGAGATCTATGAAGGTGGAGCACGTGGGAGTAAAAGCCTCCCTGGGACCGCCCCCTCTAAGCCTCTCTGCAGCCAATGGAAACAAGTTTCTGCTCTGACTTTCCGACATATGGTCTAACAGGGATCATGTATTTTTGAGTACATGAGGAGGTTTCATTATTTCAGTTGATTCTTGCTTGTTAATCTATTCCTTAACAAAAGCATGTGAGAGTAAGCCTTGAATCGGTTTGTATATATTTCTTTTCCAAAATAATCTTTATAGTTTTTTGATCATAAAATAGAAGAAAAATTAGGTATATAAATTTAGGAAGAATATAGGAAAATGTAAAGGAAAAAATCACTCACAGATGCATCACATTTTCCCTTCCAGTCCTTTTTATAAACATATTTACATACATTTTAAGAAAACTGGAATCAGATTTATATTCTGTCTGGTATCCTATTGTATTAATAGTCATTTCACTACATTACCAAATATTTTAAATTATTTTAAAATTTTATTATATAATGCTACCACAATTTGTTCAATCTACTATTAAAGGATATTTAGTGTTTGTCCAGTTTTTCTTCATTATAAACTTTTGTTTGTTTTTTAAAATTAAATCTGAATGCTACTGGTATTTCACCATTATTCACAATATTAGCTGTTTTTAAGATATACATTCTTTATCATATTTAGAGTATACCACTTCGTGGTATTCCTTGTTTACTAATAACTTGAACATCAGAAACCAGAAATTTGAATATTTGAGAATGCCATTTAGCATCCTTCAAATTTCTCAGTCCAAAAATTTAAAGTTATTTGTGTCTCTTTCCATTCTTTTAAACCTTCATACCCAAATCAATAAATCTTCTCAGCTCATGCTTCATCACACACGCAGAATCTGACCACTGCTTGACATCTTACTCATCTAAATTATTATAGCAGCGTCTAGACCATACTGTGCTTCCTCCGTTACCAGCCTACATTCTGTTCACCACAGTAGCAAGAGTTATCCTTTTGAGATAAGTTAGGCCATCACTTTTTGCTCATAGCCTTTGACTGGATTTACACCTCACTCCGTAGTCAACAAGGCTCTCTCTCCTTTGCTTCTACTTCTGGGACTTGGTTGGATCTATCATTCCCCCTTGCACATTCATTCAAACCATGTTGGCTTCCCTTCTGTCCTCGGTGCACCAGGTAGGATGCTGCCTCAGGGCTTTTACACTTGCTGTTAATTCTGCCTGAAATGCTTCTCTTCTTCATATCCACATAGCTAGCTCCCTCATCTTCCTCAGGATTCTGTTTGAATGTCACCTCAGTGCAGCCTTCTCTAATCATCCTATTTAAAATGGAAGTTTCTACACCCTTCCTTGTTTTATATTCTCTACAACATTTATCACCATCTAATATACTCAATCTTTTCTTTTTGTTTATTTACCACCTGTCTTTCTCTTATTAACATGTAAGCTCCACAAATGCAGCCTCAGCATCTATGATAGTATCTGGTATATACTAGAAAGTCAACCGGTCTCAATTGAACTGAACTAAACTCATTGAACTATTTCTAAAACAGTGCACAATGCATGTATCATGCCAATTATCTATTTGTTGAAATTATGAAAGAACACACTAGTAAACCCATTTGGTCCTGAAGATATTTTTAAATGTTATTTTATTATTTTTATTAGTTTCAAGTATACAATACATTGGTTAGATATTTATATAGTTTATAAAATGATCCACCTGATTGCTTTTTTTTCTCCTCTGGCTCTCCACCTAGCTATTACGTTAGTGCTGACTGTATCCCCTATGCCGTGCTCCCCATCCCTGTGACCCTCTATCAACTACTAATTTGTTTTAACCCTTCACCTCTTTTTCCCTGTCCCCCAAGCCCCCTCTGGCCATTACCAGATTGTCCTCTATATCCTGAGGATTTTTCGAGAGATAATTTTTGGATAACATTTTCCACTTTCTTTCATGGTTAATGATTTATTCAGGTTTTAAGATTTTTCAAGATTTATATGTTTTCAGAAAAGATGAATTCATAGAAATATTTTAATTTATAATCATAAAATTGGTTTCATTACTGTTATAGTTTAATTGTTCCTCTATCTGGTGTTACAGTCTTGTTTTGATTAGCCATTTTCTTTTATTCTTTGCCTCTGTGAGATCTTTCAGAGCTTTTTTGATTGTTTTAAATAAAAATTGTTAATTTAAAATTGTTTAAATTCTATTACTAATCTATTAATCTAACAATAGTAGCAATCTACTTAAAGTTCAAATATAGCAATAATCATATTTCTAAATAGGGATGATGTATGCTATTCTACACTAACCCCAGGAACCCCATAGTGTGTTGGTCATTTAATAAGACAGAGTCCCATTGCAGCTCTTGTCTTTATTACCTAAAGTCTAAACCACATATGTTCATGTAGATTTTCTTACAGATATTGTGTGAATCCACTCATCATTTTTTCTTTTTTTCTCATCTAGGTTTCTGGCCTTAAGATCATATTGGAGTTTTGTCGTTCTTTCTTTCAAGATTTCTTCAGAAGCTTTTTCCTAAGCCTTTATTACCTGCTCTTCCTCTTCTGCTCTCAAATTCCCTTTCCATGATTTTCATACAGATCCGTCAATTTCTTTTCCTTTTCCTGTAGGCCATCTAATGCTGTATTTTAACACCTAATTCCAGGTACCAATATTTTGACTAGCAGAGTTTATTAGAAGCTGGTTTTGAAATGTGGGCTTTTGGGGAAGCATCTTAGTGTCTTTAAAGTTAATGCAATCTTGAGTGCCCACTTAGTTTAAAGCAGGTCCTAAAGACTAAGTGAGGGACAATGACATGTTTCTTCTAGATTATATCGATAGCCCTTTGGGTGTCCTTACTGCTAATTTTCTGCCTTTCAACTCCCCCCACCCCTTCTCATCCACCACCACTTCCCTATCCTATGGTTGGAGTGATCTTTCTTAAGCTGGAAAATACATACGATATCATTTAAGGTCATCCACTGTCAAGCCCTCATTTGCCTGTTGGAACTTACTATCTATAGTTCCTTTGAATGTGTAATACCTTAAGGAAAATAGATTTTAATATGTCTTTGCTCTTTCTTTCAGCTAGAGTTCATCTTTTTCCTCAAAACTATAATCACTTTATTTATATTTCTGTTATTGAGCTTACTACAGTGTGCCTTGTACCTTTTGTATACCTTTGTCCTTGACTAAACAATCATCTTAATAAGGGCCAGGAGCATCTCTTCTCTTCTTGTTTTGATCCTCATAGAATTCTGTAAAATGTGATCATTCAGTCAGTGTTTTTCAACTGAGCTGAACATTATGCCAAACAGAATCAGATTATCTTGCCCCGACTAGCTGAAGTTGTGAAGAACAGATTTATTAGGGCTGCAAAATCAAGGTATGTATTTACAAGCAGAGAAATCCAAGAGGGAGAGGTTAGAGGGAATAGAGGGCCCGGAAATAAATGCAGGAGCCTGGAGGGATCTTTTCTTTTTGGGCACAAGGTGGCAGACTATGCCCACTTGAATCACAACATTTAAGACAGCTTTGTGAGGCTGAAATGTTCTGCCCTATTTTAGAAATCTTTGTTTGTTTGTTTGTTTTTAAGTGAAGCCAGTGCTGCTTGATGGCTGATACATGGGTTTGGTTAAAACGCAGACCCACTGCCTGAAGGCGGGCTGTGCTCCCAGATCTCTAGTCCCTCCATCTTGGACTCACCCCTCCGGGTCTGCATCCCAAAGTAATGCATTGCGGATGTCAAAACATCGTGTTTCCCTTAAACAGATGAAGAAAATTTGAATAAATATGCATGAACACTCAAGCTGGGAGAGAGGAAACAAAATCTGACCAGAGAATTGAAGCGTAGTTTCTCCACTAGATAGCAGATGAGGACAGATTGCCTTTGGTTGGTCCTGCCTGTAATTACCCAAAGAAAACATTCATTTTCTTTAGCAGTTCATTTTTTTTTTTTGCCTTTAAAATGTCAAGTATTTTTCATGTGATCAGACCATTGACATATATAAGTCTGACATAATCTGAGATATAAGTAACAGGCTGATTTCAATTTATTTATCTGCAATTTAAATTCAAGTATAATTTTCTTTACGCGCACATGTGCGTGTGCACATGCCAAATTGTCTTTTATAAAATAGCAAAGTACCAGGAATAGATTATTCTGAAATTCTGGTGGTGACTAATTTATTAGGTTATATGATCAGTATCCATTGATATGGATTTCTGTTATACCTAGAAGGTAGAGATTAAATTAGGGGAAAAAAGATAATCCTTGTTTTCAGGTTCACTTCGCATTTATTTCAGATTTTCTTTCTCTTTGTCTGAAAGGAGGTAGAACTGAGAAAAGTGATAATATGGAGATTTGTTTCGGGAAATAAAATTTGCCCTGTAAGGAGTTATAAATGTGCAACAGAGGAAAGCGCATAGAAGGCTATGAAGCAGGATATCTTCGTGAGAGCAGAGGGAGGTCAGAAGAAAAAAGAAATGCTAGCTTAAGCAGACTGAGATGATGGAATGCTTTACTCAAGCTTTATTCAGTAGACTAATTTCACAGCACTGCCTTTGCCAAAGGCAGAACTAATCTTGTTGCCTTTGAAATGAAGTGCCACAGACAACAGCCTTTCTTAGAGATCATTTATTACAAATTACTATATGAGACATAGTGTTTACTTTCATGCCTACAGAGCAATAACAAAGAAAGGCTTTTGTGACATTCAAAAATTAAATGACACCTATTCAAATGTTACTTATTTCATAAATCCTTAATGAATTTTTATTTTCTTAAAAAAGCATCACAACTTGGAATAGAATTTCATACTATGACCATTAAAAGAGCAACAGTTCTCCCCAGGAGGCTGGGTTTGGCTCACTTAATTCCCTGCTCTGTCCTTCTGCACCTCGTCTGCTATCAGGTGGCTCTCCTTCAGCATCGAATCACAGACGACTGGGTATTCCAACCTTTATTCTGCTGGGAAATTCTCGTGAACTAGTTACCATCACTCTCACTTGAACTGCCACTGTCAGATGATTCACTGCTGTCATGCTTTTTAAGGGGCCTAAACCTGTTGGAATGGGATTTTCTGTAACCCCAAGAGCCTTTCCTTTGCGGCATACCCTTATTCCACATAGAATTGTTTCGTCTATGGGGTACATGATAATTTTTTCTGCTATGTGTTGTTATAGTCCCCTCATTGTTGGGACCACTATGGGAACCTATTCCAGTTTTAATTTCATTATCAAGACCATGAGAGGGAATGGGCTGACCCTGACTTTTGCCCTTACTAGGAAATCTCTCTTTTTCATTTGAGGTCACTTGATTCCTATGAGAATATTCTGGACCTTTTCTGCTACTCCCTTTGCCATTTTTCGGAATTTCATTATAATTAGTACTTTCAGCGACATCACTACGGCCTTCTTTTTTTTTCTCTTTTGAGGGTACGTGAGGGTAATGAACTTCTACTTTCCCTTGGTGAGCATTTTGGCTGCCGGCATCCACTCTGTTTCCTTCTTTTCCAGGGAGTTCCTTAAAATCGGTGCTACCTATGATGTCATTGCTGCCCTCCACTAGGCTCACATCAGCAGTATTTGCCTCTTGTTCTGTTTCATCCCTGGTCCCAATGGTATTTCTGCCATTTTCTTCTTTCTCTGGGATGTCATTATAACCTGGCCCTCCGGCCTCTGGTTTAACAGTTTCAGCTTCACTTGGACCAGAAAATTCTGTTTGAATATCTGCACCTTCTTGATCAGAATCAATGACTTCTCCTTTACCAGAAATGTCCTTAAAAGGTTGTCCATCGCCACTGAAAGGAGACATATTATTGCTCCCCCTCTCTTGAAGATCTGGGTAACCACTGCCTTCAAAGTCACTGGGGATTTTTTTGACTTTTGAGAGCTGTTTTAGATAGTCAGTGTTGTGTTGAATATGGTGAGTGCTTTTGCTCTTTACTGGAATCTTCTGTGCTTGTGGATCTCTTTGATGATTCTTCTGACCTTTTAAAGGGGCTTTAGCATAGCTCACACTTGTTGGAATTTTGCTTAGAACTTTCCTGAATTTGATCTCTTTGTTTTCTTTCCCCAAGAGTTCAGTCACAGCTCCTGGCTCCATTATATGTTGCATATTATTTCTGGTGAGAGCAGCACTGTATTCTTCTTGGTCATGTAGTTTGCTGATAACAGTATCTCCATCCTCAGCCCCATTATTCCCAGTAGATCCAGGATAAATGGACACCTTTAGGTTATTGTGGGCATTTTCTTTGTTACTAGTACTGAAGTCTTCATTCATTGTCTGTCTATTTTCAAAAATATTTTGAGATTTATTGGTTTGATTATTTTTATTGGCTCCAAGAAGGGACAAGTCTTTCTCTTTTTCCTGGGCAATGTTTTCTTTAGATGCTGATTCTTGATTTCTTCTCTTGCCAGATTGGTGAAGAGCAATTTTGTCATTGTTTTTTTCTCCCTGCTAAAATGTAATTGTTAACATAAAGTGATTATTTTATGTTAAATTTTTTAAATTTAATAATTCTTAGAGTCTATCTATATCTATCTATCTATAATCTCCCAGATACTTAATAAAAAGATTCTATCAACTCAGTAGAAGTTTGTTGGTAGAGATAATTCTGAAATGGCCAAAGCAGTTTTCATGGAGCAAGAAGAATGAGCAATGCTTGAAGAATGGGTAAAATCAGATACATGGAAAGGAAATGGTGAGAATGTTTTAAGAATAAGTCACATATTCAAATATTTGGAAACAAAATATTTGAAAGATAATATGAATAAAACTCTAAGTTTGGAGTGGAGAAATCTTAAAGAAGAGAATAAGAAATAAATTTGGAAATGTAGATTAGGGCCTGATTTTGAAGGAGAATAGACTGTTGTCCTCACCTTGTGACTAGTGAATAGTTGCACATGGCAGAGAGTTCATATTTTTAAAATAAGTATTTCCTCTTCCATTCTCTCACTCATTCTCTCTCTCTCTCTCTCTCTCTCTCTCTCTCTCTCTCTCTCTCTCTCTCATTCCCAACTATAGTACTGTTCTGCTTTTATACATGTATCTTATTAATGTGGGAAACAGTGGGGAAATTGTTGAGTAAACTCACACTTGAATCTCAAAATAAAAATAGTTTATGGAAATGCCCTCTATTTTTATGAAGCTGGCTAATATACAAAAGTTCCAGTGTGTAGTATTTTTAAGATATAATTTGAAATGATTTATTTGTGATATCATTGTTCACTAGTCTTTTATTTGGCAGGTATATTCTGAAAATTAGTGAGGTTTTGCTATGAGGAAAAATATATTAGAAAAAAACTTCATAGTGAGTTATTTCTAAATGAAAAGTATTTTAAACATTTGACTTATTTTAAGACATTAAATCTTGGAAAGTTTTACATGGACATTTATATTGTCCTTTGAAATCAAGTTCATTTGCTCCTTGCTAATATATCCTTTTTAATTAAGCAGATGCATAAAAAAATCAATAGATTGTAATCATCCCTTCTTAATATTTTTTCCTCTCTAATCAGAAGTGGAAAGTTTTGCTCTATATTTGCTGCTTTTACTACTTTAAAAACAACAGTATGTATACTAATTAATTGTGCGCATTTCACTAAAGACCAAATAGGATTCTTTTATAAATGAAAACATAAAATGATGTTTAAATTGTGGTATTTGATGGTTCATTATTTCTTCACTTGCTTATGTTAAATGATTTCTGATTATATTGTTGATGGTATGATGGTCTAGATATCAGCTGGCTTCAGCTTTCCTCTACTCTACTTTCTTTCTTTATGACTTCTCTCACATTATTCTTTTCATGGAGAATAATATCTCCCACCTACTTGTTTGCTCAAATCCTACTCATCCTCCAAGACCAGCTCAATTACTTCTATTATGTAACTTTCCCCTAACACAAGACTAGGAACTAATCTTTTTCTACTTCAAGCTCTAAAGCATGATTTTTCGGTTACCACTCACATAGCACTTTGCACATTCTGTATTAGGTCATAATGATTTTTCTAAGTGTCATTTGTTTCTTTTCTAAGATCCCAAAGAGAAAGCATTAAGTTTTCTCAATCATTTTATCTCCCATAGTATCTTGCACATTAGGAAGAGCTCAATACATATTTGTTACAAGTAAGTTTAAAATGCAGTTAGTCTTAGAGATACATCTAAAGAATACTGAGCAGAACAAAACAACATTCTGAAGGAAAACTAGTACTTTCATGGGAAACGAAGCCAGATTTGGAAAAAGTAAATAGTCCTTTTTTGCTGATGGCATTTTAAGTTGTTTCCAGCTCTTTGGCCAATGAATCTGCAAAAAAGGACTGAGTGAAAAGAATTATTGTTCCATTTCAGTGACTAGGCCCTTATTCTTTCTCTTCTGAGCATTCTAAAACAGATGGAGTCATCTGTGGAATGAATTTAAGGGACACTAAAATGTGTCACTCTAGGCTAAAATGATTTCTAATAGCTTCCTAATCCTCACCATTAGAGTGTATGCTATAACGTGTCCAGAGAACTCCTTTATAAAAGACCGAACATTAATCAGAAGCAATAACACACAAAAAAATCATGAGATCAAGGTCCATCAGTACCACACCTGCCACGGCAGGTCCTGAAGCCGGGCAGGATTGGGGCCAGGGCATGGGGTAGCCCACCTGTGTGAGGAAGACTCTGCAATACAGAGTTCCATAGCAGAGACCCTTGAGGAGCCTGAGACTGTGGGAAAAGGACAAAGGCACCAGCCTCAGACAGAAACACCAGAGCAGACTCCCCCATAGTTTTCTCTAGCGTTAGTCTAGAGTTTGGTTTTGTTATAAGGATCATCACTCAAACATTCAGTTACCTTTATGTTAGCTTGATTTTTCCTCCCAGATGACGTGTAAACATACTTAAAAATATAAGACCCATGTTTCTCACTGTGACCCTTGTACGTTATCTACAAAAATACAACGTTATATTAAGATGGCTTTATCTCTTACTGAGAAGTTTTCTGGCTCTCTTTTTGATAGGACAAGATATTTTTAAACTCGAGTGAAGTCTAATTCTGCATCTGACAGATGGTAGTTCTTCCTATGACCACAGAAGGGCATGTGTCAGGCAGCCCTTGAAGATAGCAGCTTGTTCCTTTCTTTTCTACTTATCTCTGTTGTCTCTAAAGATGACTATCAACTATCTCTCACCCAGGGTATATCAATTCGATTACCAAATTTCAGTGGAAATGGAGCACTTGAAAATTTTCAGGTGGGAGGGGGTAGGGAGATTAGAAGAAAGGCAGATTTTACAGTATACATGTCTGATGTCAAATTGACAAAACTCAAAGCATGAACATTCAGGCTCTTAAATATGTACTTTTTGCCTTTGTAATTTTCAGCTGAGACAGAACAGAAGATTGTTAGTTCTTAGAACAGAATTTTCTGAGACTGCCAGGAGAAACCATGGCAGGCAGAAGTAAGCTGCAATTTGGTGACATGAAAAACCGAGGGAACTTATTTAACTTTATAGATGCATATGGAAAACTAACTCCAGGTGAACAGAATTCCTCTTTAAGAATTGCAAACTCTCTTCCCTTGTTTTCTTCCTCATTTATTGCTTTCTTCTCATGCACACATGTGGAAAAATGTTGTTTGCTAACAATATCCCAGAAATTTTCCTCACTTATCCCTGGGAAGGAAAAAGTCATATTTAAGAGAAATTTTCATTTAGAATGCTTTTCTCTTTTCTATCACACATTCTATGAAATCAAAGTGTTAAAATTATATTGTGCAATTTTGCATTTCCATTCTAAGTACACAGGAATATTGTGACAGTTAAAAATTTCCTCTTACAGACTATTTCCTTTACAGAGTTGAAATGGATTTATTTGAGAAGAATAATTCTTTTTACCCTCTGCTTTTCCACATAGTCTTGCTTAGTTTTCTCAGTCTGTGGTTGAAATGTCTGAAAGGAAACAAAAAATAAAACTTCACAAAACATTCATTCTTTCATTCACTTCTTCAAACAATAAATATTTCATTTATTTTTCTCCTGCTGGGCTATACTATTCAACGTGGAAAATCATTCTGACTAAAAGAAGATGGACACACTCACCCCATTAATATTTGTTTCAGTATTACAAGAAGGTGCCAGTGTTCCTCTCCCAGACAAAGACAGAGTTATCTCCATTACACAACCACGTTTAAGCACAGGAGAACTGCCCGGTTGGGGAGGAATGGCACTCCAGGTGAAAATGCTTGGGTGTCATTGGTATCCACCGAAATAGAAGTTTTCACCAGCACCCTGGGATTCATTTAGTATCGGTAAACCAAAATCAGAGTTCAGCGATGTGCACTGTATGTGCGCCAATTATATAAGTTTGGTAGTCGCTATATGAATTAAGATATGATGCTGCTGATGCAGCAAGGATAAAATCATACATAGCCCTGCACAAAAAGGGAAGGACTACACCTAAGGATGTAACTTTATTGTTGCCAGTCACCTGGGCAAATATTTCTTTCCGGAAAAGAAAAATGGGGTGGCCTGTAGATTGGGACAAATGTTTTCTCTTGATCTGACATGAAAGTGTTAAAGTATCATGAAGGTTCAAGGGGGCAAGAGGTAGTTATTAAAGTAGAGAAAGGCCAGACACTAAAAAGAAATAGACCTAGGCAGCTTGTTCCAGGCTTTTGGACTAAAATTTTGGTGTCACAGGAGAGCATGCAGAAGAGGACCTAAGAATCCTGAAGCAAACTTGTCATGGAAGCAACAGACATAACAACTGTTTTATTCTCAGTATTTTTTTTCCCCATATTTATTTTTAAAACTCCTGGGTTATCTCATATGTGGTAAGAGGAACCAGTGGGTATGACTGGTTCGTGTTTGAAAACTAAACTAAAGTGGAAACAGGCATATGGGGTGGTATCAATTGTATAAGAGAGAGAAACCCTTAAGAGAAAGATTAAATAAAAAGACCATATCCATCTAGAGAGTGTTCTGCCTGAATAAATTTTATAGTTCTGTATTTCCTTGCAATAAGATATGAGCAATGATCCTGCTTGCTTTCAGACACAGTACTTCTGCTCTCTCTGGGACTACTCGACAAATGACATTTCCTGACCTCCTTTGCCATCTGGTTCCAGCCTGAGTTTGGCAGATGAGAGATGGGACCTGAGGGTAAAAGGTAAAAGAAGCCAAAGTATGTCCTTCCCTGCTTTCTCAGTTTGGGGCTGCATCTCTAGGATTGGATGCATCTCCTTTGCTGTCCTAGTTCTTGCTGCTGCCACCACCTCCTTCAGGGCATCGGTAACTCCACGCTTTCCTTGCTCCTCCAGCCCGAGGCATGGCCTTGGCCTCAGTCTTCGCGTTGCCTCAACACTCTTGATTTGCTCTTTCTGTTTGTCCCATACTTTATAGCCATTCTCCAAATTCCCTGTCATGGATTTTGTTTTCCTGACTGGACCCTGCTGATGAAACCATCTTAGAAATAAACTCAAAACTTTAGTAAAAGTACCCTATTGGCTGGACTCCAAAGCAGATCTGCCTAGTATTCCATTCCATTCTAGAAACAAAAATCGTTTTTCAATCACAGATACAGAGAACAAACAGGTGTTTGCCAGAGGGAAGGCAGGTATAGGGATGGGCAAAATAAGTGAAGAGGATTAAGAGGTACAAATTTCCAGTTATAAAATAAATAAGTCACGGAGGTATAATGTACGCCCTAGGGAATATAGTTAATAAAATTGTAATAACTTTGTATGGTGACGGATGGTAACTAGACTTATCATGGTGATCATTTTGTAATGTATAAAAGTACTAAATCACTATTTTGTACATCTGACACTAATGTAATATTGTATGTCAATTATAACTCAATTTTTAAAAGGCAGAAATACACATTAAAGAAATAATGAAATATAATTTTATATTCATTGGATGTGGATATAGAGAAAAGGGTAGTATAATACATATTGGTAGTGAGAATGTTAAGATGTATAGCATTTGGGGAGGAAAATATGGCAATATCTGTACAAGAAGTACATATTATCTTTACTAAATACTTCTATTCCTAGAAATCTCTTTATTATAGAAATAAAAGTACAAATCTTGCTCATAAATATAGAAGTACAAATTTGTATAAAACAGTTTGTCAATGATACTTTATATTTATATAGCACTTTATAGTTTGTAAACTGCTTTCATATTTAAAAAATCTCTTCTGATTTCCATAATAATCCCTGTGAGACAGACAGTAGAAAAAACAGAATTGCCTACAGTTACATATCTGTTAGTAGTAGTAGCAGTAAAGAAGAAATTTTAACCTAAATCCTCTGCCTCAAAGTTCTAAGGTTAAAATAATAAATTTTTAAATGGTCTGATATATGAAAAAAAAATTTAATAATAAAAGGAAGTGTTCCTGAAGTTTATATTAAATAACTTTAGGTATATTTTATAATTTTATCTTTTATTGCCTTTTTAATGTTGGTTCTTATATGATTTTGCACATGTAAATTTAGATCATTGCATCATTTCTCAAAAATATCAAAATAGTGAAAATATATCTTGAAATGGGGCTATAGGAAAGAGAAAACATAAAAATAAGAAGGGTAGATATTTAAAAAAAAGAAATGACAGTTTGGGGTGCTAGGCATCTTCTTACAGAACACACACACGTGAATGTATTAAAAACATACTTGATAGTATAGGGTATCTTAATATAGTTCACAATAATAAATCATGAGCTTACAAGAAAGTAAATTATAACTAAATCTTTATAGTCTAATTGCATATTGATGAAAATTAATTAAATCACATGACCCAATAATCATCTTTTATTTTCTCGATTTTTAAATTTTGTTTTTGAAGGAAACCAGAATGTCACCCCAAAATACGCCTCTTTAACATAAAAATTATTTTGAGCCGAAACCAATTAAAAAAATGGTAAACACAGAAAAAGTTCTCCCTTTTCTGCATAAAGGCAGGAAATAAATTATCTTTTTACTGGAGACAGGCTCTCATCAGCCCAGAGACCACATCAGAGGAATCTGCAAACAAATCTTGTTAAACTAACTTTAGTCTTCCTAGTTAAGGGATAAAGACTACCTACCCCTGGCTGGAGTACCCCTAACCCAAACATTTTGTAGTGTCAACTCTTCACAAATGTATTGTTTCTTTGTCTAAAAGGCATAAAAGCTTCTTGCTCTGGTCACTTCTTCAAGTCTTCATTTGCTTGTCAAGTCTCTCATGTATATGTAAAAATTCAATAACAGTTGTATGCTTTTCTCCTGTTAATCTGTCTTTGTCAGTTTAATTTTCAGACCAGCCAGGGACCCAAAGAGGATTGAGGAAAACTTTTTCCTGCCCTACAGTTTGAATTTGGATTATAATTTCAAAATATATGTAAGTAACTCAATATATACTGATTTCTTATACCACTCATCAATTATTAAATAATTAGATAATTGCTCAAATGGGATCTATTTATCTGGGAGAAAACATCACATGTAGCCATTCATAGTTCAAATTTTGTCTTCATGCCCTTGCCGTGCCTCATTCATTTGAAATATGCACCTCTCCCTTCTCTCCGCCACCTCCCACACCTGCTTGGCGGTTCTTCCATGCTTGAATGTGGCCCTGTAATGGAGATGGCATTGTCTCCATCTAAGGAGAAACATTGGCACCTGCTTTTGACCAGTGGTCAGTAGATTGATGTTGACATAGGGCATTTACTGGAAAATGGTCGGAGAGTGCCACTCCAGCTATTGCTTGGAATGTGTTGCTGAAAATAGACGCATACTAGGCTGGTGGGATTGAACTGAGTCACTAAGAACCACTCAACCCCATCATGCCTAAGCACATGCCTCTGTGGCCCTGGTTGAAATAAGCCATGTGGATTGGACCTGGCAGATGTCTATTTTAAGCAGCACAGCCTCCACAGGACTGTTAGAGGCTGTGAGCTGAGAGGGGACACGCTTTCCTCAACCTCTGCCATCCTTACCGGATGGTATGGTCAATGCTTGTCCGCAGGTTACCCAGTTGGCCACCCACTTGTTCATAACCTATATTTAAGTACTTCTGGCACAGAATGACCACTTGTTTCCATGGTTTTCCAACTGAAAAAGTTACTCTGAGAAGTTCGAATGCTTTCCAGACATTATCTAATTGGCACTGTGTCTGCATTGCAGAAAATATCGGTAACATTCAGCATTTTCACAAGATAATTTAGTCATATCCTGAGTACTCATCTGGGTGAATTAGAGGGAAGAAAAGATACAAAAGGAGATTGGAGCTTGATTTGACTTAAGCTTGGAGGCACTTCATCCCATCTGCAGCCTCGCTATTGAAGAGAAAAATCATTACCAACATCTCACAGTGTTGAGATGTTACAAGAATTATAGGAAAGGTCTAGTCCCTTTGTGCTGCCATATATTTACAACATCTAGTTGGTTAGCCTTAGACAATTCAAGTCCATTTTTTCCAGATTTTAGTAATATATTGAAAAGTTTTTTGACATTTTATAATTTGGATCTCTAAGCATTTACTCATTAGCATTAGCTGATTTAAAACATTGTGACTGGCTCTTGGTTTTCTCAAAAGTACTCTTTTCGGCATTTCTTAAAAGGCAATGTGTTGATAACTTGTAATTTAGCACATGTTTATTGAAGGCTTCCTTGGTGGAGGCGTTGGTATCAACTGCTGGATGCTTGATTTTTGCTTGATATTTTATTATAATTGAACTATGTAAGTGCTACTAATTTGAAAAGACATTACTTAAAAGAAAAATAGTTAAGGAGAGCAAGAGAGTATATGATGCATAACTGAATTTGTAAATGCTTACTAGTGCTGCCCAGGTCAGACTGAAAAGGAGCAGTCCCAAACAGATAATTTGCATCTTTGAGAATCTCTGTAAAAAGACAATAATATTTTACCCTAAAGCATTGCCAACAATGACTGTAGCCATAAAAATAAATAAAACACAAAAGTATATACAAACATCTTTCCCCCAGTAATTCTTTTGTTTAAATAAATTTGTTTATACTCAAGTGTGGATACTTTAATGTAAGTGCTTTCATATGTCTCATTATTACAATGTGAAAATGAAAATTGTCCAATATTATTAAAACAATGAAGTCAGTTGGAAATAAATTTTATAGACATATTTATTTGCTCTACTGTCAGCCCAAACTTTTCCCTTTTGTCTTTAAAGAAAGATCATTTAATTTAATTATTTATATAGTTCGTAATAACATTAACTTAGTATAGCAGCTAATAACATATTCTTTAAATGAGTTGCCAGGGTAGCAGACTCCACTGTGAGAAATGTAATCTTGTCTGCTACCAGGCCGGTGCCCCAATATATTTTCTCATATTCATTGACAATATATCTGAACTCGTAACCATCCATGGACTGAAGAGTAAAACAATTTATGTAATATATTAATAGCTAACATCTATTGAATACTAAAATGAGCCAAGCACTGTTCTAAAAATTTTACACATATTCAATTCATTGAGACTCATACCAACCCTATGAGTCAGGAGGCATTATTATTCTTGTTTTATAGTATGGGAAATAGACACAGTAAGTCGCATAACTTGCCCCAGAATTCTCAGATATTAAGGAGCAGAACTGGAATTAGTAACCAGGCAAAGCAGGTAGAGAGCCAGTGTTCTTAATCAAGATGCTTTGCCACCTAGAATGTTTCTATTCTTTTATCTTATTACAGAAAAATCTGCATGTAGTTGATTTGAAGGCAAATTATATTTTATATTGGACTCAACAAAATTTTGTTTAAAACATTAACATTTGTAGCTATGTATAAAGGTACATGTATATCCTTTGGTAAATATACTAAAGGATCAGATGACCTCACTTAAGGGGACATTAGATTGAAAAAAATTTCAACATAACCTTGTATTACTAATCTGTTCGTTTCAATAAACAGTATTGTACTAACTACCACACAGACATATTTATACCACTCTTTGAGATTATTTGGGGAAAAGCACCTTTAATGGAAGAAATAATCTAAATACTGTTGCAATCTTTAAACATTTTAAGGTAATGTTTTATTTGTAGAAATAAATATAACTATTAAATATATTCTAAAATTCTAAGCTATTCTCTTAAATCGATACAATTTTAAGAACCTTAATTCTAACTATAATTTATCCACCCAAACACTTTAGAGATCAGGACAATATAAGTCATTTATTAGGTGACTTAATGCTGAGAAATATCAGCACAGGTGATATCAGCACGGATGAGGTTAAAAAGTATGAATATGTTTACATTATCCTTATTCTGTTTATAAGTAAAGGTATAAAGTAAAATTAGTCTTTGCGTTATTGTGGATCTTAATAATGCTGAGAGTCAAATCAAAGAAGAAATTGTTACCAAGTCATCAATTTTAGTTGATAATTTCTAGACCTTAGTAACACACTTTCTATTTTATAAAACACAGCACTAAATATTACACAGCTGTGTTCAGCAGAGAACACTTTCAATTTGCATTTATTTTCAAAAGCAATCTCCTACCTAGATGGCATGCATCCTGAAAATGTAAACAATTACATTACAAAGCTATTTGTTATTAAAAACATCAAGAAAGATAAATTACCTTGTATCTTTTACCTTCAGAATACCTGGCTTCTTCTGCAGGATTAGCAGTTTCTGGGCATTTTGCTGAAATTTAAAGTTTGTTAGAGTTCCCAATGGCCAATCAGCATTGGCTCACTTAGCACTAGCACAAACAATTTGTTACCAGTGCCCGCAGATAACCATAGGGGGCAAAGTAATTTTAATCTAAAAATGTTTTTGTGGTGGAAAGCTGCTATCAAATGTTCCAGAAAGTGGGATAAACAGAAAATATAAATACCTCAGTTTGGTATATCATGTTGTCAGATAATTAAAATTGATTTTAGAACTATTAATTAAGACCGACTGAATAACAAGTTTATAAATGGAAAACATTTCGGTTATCATTTCATATAGAAAGTTTATTATTTCGATTTTGTCTGAATTAAATTCAGCAACCTTTAACAAAAATGTATTGAGTGCCTATAACATGACAGGCATTGGGGAAACAGCAGTGAACAAAAGAGACAGTAAAAGAATCCCTGTCTTCATGGAGTTTTTAATCTAATGGGTCAACAGAAAATAAACAGGATAAATAAGTAAAATATATTATGTTAGATAGTGACACAGACTTAATTTAAGAAGAAGTATTGCAAGGGAGGAGGGTAGAGACAGGAGTTTAAAATTTTAGATAAGGAGCCCTGGGAAGGGCTCACTGAGAGGATGACTTTTGAGTAAAGACCTGTAGACACATGACTCTCCAAGGGAGGAGCATTCTAGGCAGAAGGAAGAGGAAGAGTAGAGAGAGCCCCAGAGGCAAGAGCCTGCTGGCTTGTTCGAGAAATAGAGAAGAGGTCAGTTTGGCTGAAGGGACTGACGAGGGAAATGACAGGAAATAAGGGCATAAAGGCATCAGATGGCAGATGATATTGGGCCTGTGTGTGCAAGGCTGTGGCTTTATCCTGAATGAGAAGAAAGCCCTTGGTGGTTTGGGGCAGAGGAGTAACTGAGGGAGTGACTGAAGTAGGAATAGACAGAGACCAGCCGAGAAGCTCTTTAGGCAATATGAGGAAGAAATAATTGGGACTTGAACCAGAGTAGTGGCAGAAGAGATGAGGAGAAGTGATTATGTTCTGAATATATTTTGAAAGTAAAGCTAATAAGATTTGCTGATGTACGAGATATGGATTGTGAGAGAAAATCAAGAATGAAGAATAACACCAAGTTTTTTGCAGCTGGAAGAATGAAGCTGCCTTTTGATATAGGAGAAACTGCAGAAGGAGTGGTTTTGGGGGAACTATCGAGAATTTGGGTTTGAATATGTATGTTATTAAGTGGTCAATTTAGGACACTGATTTTCTGAGTGGATGCACATAGCATACCATATAGGAATAAGGCTTTCTAGAGCAATTGCCTGCTCTTTGGTTTTGCCCAGTCTAGCTGCCAATATTGATCACAATGTTTTGGGAGGTTCCATTCAGTCTAAAAATATTGCAATATCTGGAGGGGTAATTTACATTAGAACTATATGTGAAACATCAATAAAAGATAATGTAAGAATTACTTAACCCATGTCAAGTGATAAGAACTACCTATAGTTAAACACAATTTTAATAAACTATAAATGACATTTAAGGAGAGTTAAGTGTAAACTCCCAATTTCTCCTAACTTTCAAAACAGACAAAGAACAAAATAACAAACAAAATAGCCCTTGGACAACTTTAGCGGAGAAAATGGTATATTTTCTCGTTCAGGCTAATCCCCATTTTTGCTTCACTCAGATTCTAAAGCTCCTCCTCTAAGTGTCTGGAGCTGGTTTTTAAAACACTTGCCTGGACTAGAATTTGAGCTATTGGGCTGTGGCCACTGTTGATTCACAACCATTCAACCATGGATTTTAGAGTATTTTAACATTGTCGTTGGAAATGGAAACATTTAACTCTAGTAGCCTTGGAATGAAACAAACCTGAGTTCAAATACTGACTTGCTGTTGTCAGTTGCTTAAGTACCTAAATGGAGTTTTTGTGAACCTCAATTCCTCCGTTGGAAAATGGGGAGCATAATAATAAGCTAAACATTCATTGAGTGATTACTTTGATCCACGCATTATTCTCAGTGTGATGCATTAACTCATTTAATGTTTACAAGAACTCTATAATGTAGATACTGTTATTATTTTAGTATTAATGATGGGACATAAAGCAGTTAAGTGACTTACTTAGTGTCATATATCTAGCAAGTATAAAAAGCCAGAATTTGTAATTAAGCAATCTGACTCCGACATGAGGTTTGAAAACCACAGCACTATATTGTTTCATAAAATCAGCATGAACATTTAATTAACAAATGTCTACAAGACATTTAGCCCAGTACTTGATTCTAAATTAAATGATAAATAAACAATAGCTATCTATCCCACCCACTCTCCCCATCAAATAATAATCTGGTATTCAGACAATATCTTTCTGTATCTCTTTCTGTCTTCTGTTTATTTTACTATCATGTCTTCTTCTATGACTTATTTAATAAGGGAGAAAAAAAGCAAGGAAGTAGTGAAAAAAACGAGTTGAAATTTAAAAGCTATGTCTCTAGTTTTAAATGTTAACGACCAGAATTTTAGCAAAGTACAAAGGATTTGGGTGAAACAAAAAGGTAATAAAAATAAAGGAGAAAGCAAGACAGAGTGCTCAGTCAATTACAAGACTGAACAGAAAATAAAGCTATATAAACAGTAAACAGATGTGAATACCATAGAAACGCTCATTTTAATATTTCATTAAGGCAATGAATAATTAAGAATTAACAATTTGCAAGTTGTGCAGTGTTTTTAGGTTGTGCACTGTTCCATGAAATTAAATTTATACTTTTGAATGATTCTGGTAAAAGTGTAGGCACCTGATGTGTGCCTCATATATGCTACAGCCTTAGAAAATATTTGTTGGTTTTTTCCTTGATATTATTTTATAGCTTCAGATATTTCTCAAAAGTACTTTTCCTTTGTTTTACCTTCTTTCCAAAGAATTTTATTGGTATGAAAGATTTCCCCTTTATTTGTGATGGGAGAGTATCTAATTCTATCTAAATTGAAGTTGTGTTCTATGAGAGAAAATTCATAGAATTTTAAGAGAAGAAAATTTGACTTAGCTGCTAGTCTTACCAAGGAGTAAACTGGAAGTAGCTAAATATATATGCTCCCAAAGTTAAAATGAAATCAAAGTTCAAAAAAAAAAAAAATCAACTTGGGCTTTAAATTTAGAACCTACAATTGACAAAAGCATAAAAAGAAAAAAAAAAGCCTATTCTGACTGGAAGGTTGTAGAAAAGAGTGTCTGGGGAAAAAACTGAGAATAATCATTTGCTAAAATTCTGTGAAATAGAGGTGTTACTTCTA